GCAGCTCATTACAATTATTTAGAAGCGCGGCCAATAAAATTAAAATAGAGATGATGATTTCCAACCTCCGATAGGAGAAGGAACCTGAAGAAGAATGGATGTTAATAATATGTGAGATAACTAAAAAAAAATGTTAAAACCAGAAGTGCAGCTAGATGGTTTTCGAAAAGAATTTAGTTGTAAACTTAGATAGGCAACCAATCTTACTTTTAAATAAAAGAGACTGGTACAGGAGAAACGAGAGGTAGCAATTATTGGAAGTCGTCCTTCCGAAGGTTAAATGGGGTGACGTAAAGTGTTTGCCAGGATAAATATGGTACGGGAATTAACCTTCTTTTAAATCATTGTATACTCCTGCGTATCCCATGACGTAACTACTTATAATAAGTCCGGGAGCAACACTGGTTGATGACAATGTAAGGCTCTGATGGCAGGAGCTTTTCATTTAAAATCATTTCAATATCATTTGTTGATACCTGTTGATAACAACGAATGAGTTGTTATCAACAGGTCCTCGTAGACACTTCGTCTCAGGACCTTTTTACTCATGTAGAGTCATACGCCGCCATGTTACCTATCCAACGGTAACTTAACCATCACAAATTAGAAATACTAATAATGTAAAATAACTTCAAATTTATAACATTTAAAGGGTTTTTACCCATATATTTTGGTGGCTACTAGCATGTACAACCGTTTGCACTGATGATGGATTGTTTAATCCGAAAACGTTTTGCAATGTGTTTGTGATAGCCCGTTTGAGGCATTTTTATATACCTTTTATAAAGGATTTTAAACAAAATTTTTTTTTGAAAGACTTTGTCCTCAACGATGAAGTCGACGTTTGTCGACGTCAAAGAATGACTTGGCATTCCTGAAGTCAAGTAAAAGACATTTTCCTACTTGCTACATGCAAAACAGTCCATATAATTCTTATGTTTCATGTTGACTATGTTGGTTTTCTCCCTGAAATAGATGTTGAATAACCATTGAATATCTCAGAACTCCGTTGGTTGTTCCCCTTGACGATGTGTCAAGATAATATTCATGGCAAAGATAAAGTGTGGAAAGATAAAGTGGATTTTTTGCATTTTTGGACTACGTTGGTTTTTCCTCTCTACCCTTTATTCGATTTAGCTCTACTAATTTCATAAGATTCCAAAATATATAATTTATTACCCTTGTATATGTGTATATAGGAGTGGCTTCTTAAAATATAAATAAAATATAAATATAAAAAAATTTAGTATCTTAATATTGAGTAAAATACACAGAATCTTTCTGTTAGGAAAGTACATACATTTTAGGAAAAGTATTCTAATTTTAGCCAAATAATGCAATAGTATCCAAAAAAATCATCAAAACTTCATTCACTGAACGGTTTTTCTAGATCTTGTGAATACACGCAATATTGTTTGAGGAAGGAAACCTACAAATTCCCCTCGTATGCACCCATCATCGTGAGTTCTTAATTGCTCGTGTGAAAGCCTCCAAGAGGCAATTCTTCCAGCTGACGCCCGACCAGCCCTGTTATATAAAAATTGCTTAATATCCTGGATGCCTAAGGGCCTACATTTTGCTCTTCGCTGAATCGCTGGTTGCGTGCTTCTTTCTTTTAATTTGAATCGCCCACACCGAGCCGCACTACGTACGTTTGTATGTACACAAAACGGCAAGAGGAACAGAAAAAGAAGAGTTCTTCAATGGTTGCGCGCCGCTGAGTGACAAGGACATGCACTTGAGCCGCGAGGTAAACAGTCAATTGGTTTTTCGGGATTTGGAATTGTGTGTGAATTGAATCACAAGAAATAATATACACGCAAGCTTTGAAGAGCAGGACGACGGTAGTCCAAGGAGAAGGGAGGCAGTGACACTTCAAAATAACACTTCTGTTTAGATTAGTTATAAAAAAGTACGATTTTTAAGTATTTCTGTTTACAAAAGAAATAGAGAGCATTTTTTTAAAATTTAATTTTTGTTTATTTATTTATGCTGTAACCACAAGGAATATAAACGACCTAAAAAATTTACGTACAGGTAAAGTTAGAAAAAATTACAATCTGAGTCTTTAAGATAACTTATTGTGTTTTTAATGTTCATATTCTTTCCTAAGGCTTCCTTTATATTATTTATTATTCTCACTTGGTGTTGTCTATTCGCTGTGGTTGGAGCCATGGTTTCACTAATCGTTTGATTTCCTTGAGTTTATTTTGTGATGCACTTCACTTATTCTGCCACGCACTTAACACTTTATATTTTATTTCTGACTTGAAGAAACCTCATTAATAAGAATGGAGTCTTGGCTGAAATAATGCTAAGCGGGCTAGTCCATCTGCTTCTTCATTTCCTTGTATACCAGATTGTGATGGAACAAACATGAAGCCAATGGTGATATTATTATTATTTAGAATCTCTATTTCTGATTGGATATATGAGACAATTGGATTATTGGTATATAAACGTTTGATAGTGTGAAGTGAGCTTAGTGAATCGGTTATTATGACAGACGGGGACTGTTTCGACTGTTTTATGTCGATAAGTGCTTGTAATATTGCAAAAAAATCTATGACGTAGTAAAAGGAATTTAAATTTTAAGGATGTATTGGATGTGGGGATGGCTGCGCTAACACCATCTGATTATTTGGATGCGTCAGTGTATCTCTTACAATGATTTTTATAAGTTTCCATTTCTCTTAAGAATAATTGTTTGATCAGGTCTGTTATAGCCTCACTTTTTTATATATACTAAAGTTAGTATTAATCTTGGGAATTGGTATTAACCAAGGTGGAGATGTTAGGAAATTTGTTTGGAGAATTTCAGGAAATTCAAGACGTAGGTCATGAAAGTTTCTTCTAACTCTTTCGTAAAATTTGAATTGTAAAATTAAGAAATGTATTTGAATTGTAAACTTAGGGGTGGTTCTCCCATTAAGCATTGTAAACTTTCAATTGGTGTCGTTCGAAACGCACCTTTAGCTATTCATAGAGCTGTGTTTTGAAGAGTTTCTAAGGTTTATACTGATACTGATACTTTGCTTGATGAATAAACTATATTGCACCATAGTCAAGTTTGGATCTAAATCTTTATATACATGTACTTAATAGTGTATTTTGATCTGCTCCCCAGTTTGTGCTGGAAATAGTTTTCATATAATGTAATCCTGCCTAATTTTTTAAGTTCTTCTGTATGTTTTTCCAGGAGAGCTTTTGGTCGAAAACCATATCTAAAAAGCTGATATTATTTGTGTTGCTGAGATTTAGATTACATGGCTTCAGATATGGAGTTAGAGTGTTATGTTTTCGTGTAAAACATTTAGTTTTTGTCGGTCAAAATTGTAATCCGATAGTCCTAGACCATGATTCTAACTGATTAATTGTTTGTTGTAAATGTTTTTGTATAGATGTAAAGTTTTTTCCTTTGGCAAGTAAAACTAGGTAATCAGCGTATAATCTTCCTTTAACCATCGGTGAGCATTGTTGAAGTATGTCGTTTATGGCTATTAGAAAAAGGGTTGAGCTTATAACTGATCCTTGTGGTATTCTGTTCACTTGAACTTTTTTATCTGAGTTAACGTTGTCTGATCAAACTATGAAGCTGCGAGATTGAAGAAAATTTGAAATGAATTTGAACATGATATTCCAATTATGCAATTTTGATATTATATTGAATCACCAGACAGTATCATAAGCTTTATTAATATCAAAAAAGACTGCTATACAATCTTGCTTATTTGCAAATGCTTCAAGTGTTTCTGACCCTAAGTCTATAAGGTTATCTATACTGGATCGATTTTACCTAAATTGGCTTTGTTGTGGAATAAGGAGTTTTTGTTGTTCGAAATACCATCTCAGCCTTTTATTTACCATTTTCTCTAACACTTACATACAATATTGGTTAAAAATATTGGTCGATATGATTCAGGTGATGTCCGGGATTTCTCAGGTTTAGGAAGTGGTAGTATTATTGCTTCGGATCAAGTTGATGGGAAAACCTGGTTACTCCAGATAAAATTATAAAGGTCTAGCAATAAATTTTTCTCATTGTCTCGTAGATGTAGTAGAAATGTTAAGGGGATACCGTCTGGTCCCGGTAAAAATTTATTTGCGATATATAAAATGCAAAGAACTGTAACAAAAGTTCCAATTATACTTGGATAGAATATAAACTCGATAAAACTGTCGTAAAGTCAGCACTGAATGTTAACAGCTGAAAATAAAGAATAACATTTTAATCCGTTTTGTATATAGGTTGCTTTAAATTGCTCCTGTAATCCCCAACAAAAAAAGTCTAGCAATTAAAAGTTCCCCCAAACAAAATATGTTTACAACATATCGCTGCTTTAGTAATAAACAGGTGTAACACAAAATTTCTCTATTTTCACTTTAATAATGAAACTAATAAACTGCATCGCCACCTATCGGTGAGTAGTAAAATCATACTCTAATTTAACGCGGAACCCTTATTTTAAATTATTACATCCTTTTCCCACTGGCGCTTTGGCCGCGACGTTTTAGTAGTACCTAGAGTTAAAACGAATTGCACCATTGACATACACGTGTCTTTAAACGTAAATCAAATTTATTCAATTTACTATTAAACGTACAGTTGTGTTTTTTGGGTAATTACTGCATACACCAGTTTAGTTTTGATCTTAAAGGTAAGTTTTTACTTAATTTTAGTGATAAAGAACTCTTTTAGTAGTTGCATCTTTGTATTACTAAATTTAACATCGCTTGCTACAAATTATTTTAATTTGTTTCACTATATTACTAAAAGAATGGTAGATGAGGTAACTTAATTCTGGATGTATCGTTTTACTAGTAAAATATGTTCCTTTTTCGATTTGACTTTTGCAGTTTTTGATTATTAACCTTTATTTTATAAAAAAAATCATTTTTTCTAAGACACATTTTATTTTGTTTCACTTTATTACCAAAATGTTTTGTAATTTTAGATTTTATTTAGGATGCAAAATACTAGAACGATAAAGATATTCACAATGTTGGAGGCAATAGGGAACGAAGTTCAAAATGTAAGTTAAATTATATTTTATTAGTAATTATAAGATAGCAGTACCGCATTGTTCAACATCAATTTTATTAATTGTTTTCAGGTGCAACAAACAGATACAAATCCGAGTTCCCTAGGAAATTTTATCGATATAGGCAGCTTTGAAAATTTAATGCCTGACGATAGCGTAGATAACTCTACCAGTAGATCTGACAATATCATACCTGACGATGGCTCAGATAAATCAACCAGCAGGTTTAAAAATCTTAGACCTGACAACGATCAAGAGATGGTAAGTTAAAAATATAATGCAAAATAGCATTTCAGGCTTCAACTATAAAAAGGAATAAAAATAATTTATCTATAGCTAATTCTTACTTTTTAGCAGGTAATAATGTGTTATAAAATTTCAATATTTTTTTTTTAGTTTCAACAAAGTACTAGCCAGAATCGTAGTTCAAGGAAAAATTATACAATTTCTCCAGTCAACACAGATGAAAGTGATGTGGATTGCAGTGACATTGATCCTGATTATATCTATGAAAGTTCACCCATGCAAGACACTTCGAATGCTTTAGATACTACCGTAAGAAGTTCCTCACCGTCGTCGTCACCATCTTTGTCTGAGAAAGAAAATATCACAGAAAGTCGTCACAAAGGTAAGAAAAGATGTAGGGAGCCGTCCAAGTGGAAACAAAATAAAGCTCAAACTTCAAGAAATTCTGGAAAAAGTTACGTATCTAAAAAAGGTAGAGTAATACCTGATAGATCATTAAAGCCTTCTTGTTCAGATAATTGCAGATTAAAATGCAATCAAAAAATCAATCAAGAGCAAAGGCTTAAGTTGCTTAATTCATTTTGGGGGATAGGGGACCTTCACGCACAAAGAACCTTTGTGAGCTCGTGTACCGTTGATGTTACCCCAAAATACAAATACACCAACGCCGAACACCCCAGAAATCCTAACAAGGCTTTCTATTTTATGGTTGGTGAAAAAATTAGAGTCTGTAAATTGTTTTTTAAAAATACATTGGATATTTCAGAACGATTTGTGAACACTTCTTTACAAAAGACTGATGAACATGGTTTTGTCCAACCGGATTTAAGAGGTAGACACTCAAACCACCCTAAGCTCTCTGAGGAATTGATTCAAAGTATTAAAGATCATATTAATTCAATTCCTCGAATCGAATCTCACTATATCAGATCAGACTCGTCTCGAGAATATATTGAAGGGAGCAAAACTATTGCCGAACTTTATCGAGATTTTACAGAAACACAACAGGCACTAAGCAAGGATACAGGTAAATACTGTACATACTATGATATTTTTACAAAAGAATTTAATATAGGGTTTCACCAACCAAAAAAAGATCAGTGTGACCAATGTTTACAGTATGCAAATTCTAATAATGAACAAAAGAAATCACTGCAAGAATTTTACGATCTTCATCACGAGGAGAAAATTTTGTGCAGGAATGAGAAAAAGGAAGATCGAAAGCTTATAAATGAGAATAACAAAGTTGTAGTTTTTGATTTGCAGGCTACTCTTCAGAGTCCTCAGGGTAGTACGTCGGCATTTTATTACAAATCAAAATTAAATTCATATAATTTTACCATGGCAGAATTGACAAAAAAAGAAGAGAGGGGCAAAAATTTGAGTTACGAAAAAGTTCATTGTTATTTCTGGAGTGAATGTGATGCAAAGCGAGGTGCAGTAGAAATTGGATCATGTATTTTAAATTATCTTTCCCAATTAAGTGGAGGTTCAGACGTGATATTTTTCTCTGATAACTGCTGCGGTCAACAGAAAAATAAGTATGTTGCATCCATTTATTTATATGCTGTGACCAATTTAAACATCAATAAAATTACCCACAAATTCTTAATTAAGGGGCATAGCCAGAATGAAGGAGACAACGTTCATAGTCTCATTGAAAAAGATATTAAAAGAAATTTAAAATCAGGACCCATCTACATACCAGCACAATATGTTACGATTATTAAAGGTGCTAAAAAAACTCCTCCTTATTTTGAAGTTCATGAACTGAACTACGATTTTTTTACTGATGTTAAAGCACTGCAAGAAGAGTGGGGCTATAATTTCAACATAAATACTTTAGGTGAAAGTGTAGTATGGAATAACATTAAAGTTATTGAATGTAGAAAAGATCAGCCTTTCACACTTTTCTACAAATTATCATACAAAGACCATCAATTTCTTAGTATAAATGTAAGAAATAAACCAAGGAAAAAGGTATTAACCATAAATGAAATTTATTTAAAAAAGGCGTACACTCAAAAAGCTGAAATCAGTGAAATTAAAAAGAGGCACATTAAAGAGCTAATAAGCAAAAATTTAATTCCTTCGTTTTATGCTTCCTTCTATGACGCATTAGTCAAATAATTACTATTTCTATGGAATGTAACTTGTGTTTTATGATAAGTTAGGATTTAAGTTATGTTTGATTTAAATATTCAGTTTTCTGATTATAAATGTAATGAAATAAAGATTCAACATTTGCAAAAGCTGGCTTTATTATTTTCAATAACCTTTTTTAATTACATTAACCAATAGTTTTTCAATATTTGATTTTTAATTTCGATATGAAACATGGTTCACTTTTGTATTAAACTGATATTTTACTACTTAATTGCAGATAATTTACTTAACTTTAGTTGTAAACTGAAATAAAAACTAATAATTCTTTTTCCGTTTACATTTTTTAGTACTAGATTGAAACAAAATTAAACTTTCTATTCGTAATCTGTATTTATTCAGAAGAACACTAAAGCAAATCTAAATGTATCAGTTCAATATAAGTTATTTTTAGTAATAAACTGAATTAAAACTAAATTCACCATTTTCTGTTTTATTTTTTAGTAATAAAGAGAAGTAAAAGTGAACTGCCTTTTTAAAAGATCATTATTTTTAAATATAAATTTGCAATAATACATATTTTACAGATAGATATTAAGCAGATTGAACAATTAAGGTACTAAACCATTTGAAATTAAAGTACGTTAACAAACAAAGATAAAATGGGCAACTGAATTTTACTATTTTATTTAAAACACAGTTTTTGGCTGTTTGCCAAAAATCGTGTTTTTTGAGTTACACCACTTTATTATTAAAGCAGCGATATCTCCACTTCAGCAGCTAGGTTAACCGCAGTAGTGTTTACTTGTTTTCCCGTCTCTCTTCGGCTCATTATTTCAGTTTCCACAATTTCCGTTTAGTTTAGTTTACTATCAATTACTTCCGCATCAATCTGGAAATCTACCTATTTCGCTAATTCGAGCTAGTGTATACACATACATATATCAACTCACATTTCAAACTTTACAACTCCCGGCTCTATCCGAGAGATAACTCCACACTATAATATTTGAAAATTTGCGCACAGGCACGTAGTAGCTCTCATGGAATTATCTATTTGCTCTTACGGTCCCGACAGAGTACATTTTTAAATTACAAGAAATTATCTGGTTTTGTGCCTAAGGTGTGTTGTGTATAAAAAATTTAATAAAATTTCAAAGAGGCTGCAATTCCCATACCTGTCCGCACTACGTGACGAAATTCCATTCCACTCGATAACTCGATAAATTTTCAACCATGCCGATATTGTAACTCTTGATTCCATTCCACTTGATATAAATTTTCCCATGCCGATATTGCTAAGCCTTCTTAGAAGGAATAAAGGAAGATATTTAATGCCTGCCTACATAATTTGGATATTATCACAATCAGTCGAGAAAAATCTATTACCAAAGTCGATCGCAATATCTCGTAAGCTGATGTCGCTAGAAGATATTAAATTTGTAACTAAGTAGTTCGCATCGCATTATTATTCATAAATATTATTAAGCCAATCATTTATAGTAATCCAGCAGTGTTGCCAGTAGTTTGCTTTAAACATAGAAACGACATTCCGCTAAGCAATTCTACTTGTAATTATATATAATAGTGAACATAGCCTAAGTGAAACGTGTAGTGAAGTAGTGAAGTATCCCATAACACAGTGTTTTCAGACAGCTATCAGAAATTGCTGTTTAATCTTAGCATTAAATATAAGTTAGTGTTTAATCTGTTTTTCATTCCAGTCATTCGCTGGTGGTCCTTCGTTCTTCAATTCTTTAAATGAGTAATTGTTCAACCACTACGTCCTATGTGTCCAAATCTTAAACCCTATTAACAATTTAAAATGTTTAAGCGATAACTCTAAACAAAAACCAAAAATAAAAAACTCTTTGTAGCACACAAAAACAGACAAAACAAAAAACAAACTGGATCAGTAGTTTATCAAATTAAATTCGCACTATGTTTATCAAGTGATTCTGGTAAATTTAAGTTCATGTAACCGTCTGTAATTACTTTGGTACTTACTATGTAGCTATGATCTTGAATTTGCCAAAGCTACATTAATTTTCAAGCTGTCCAAGGTAATATACAGGTGTAACATAATATATTTTACAGATGTTGACAGTCTGTTTGATGGTCTGTCTGGTCCACTATCTGGTATTCTTTTAACATGTTAATTAATTAAATAGTGTGGAATATGTCGACCATCATTATTTTTATCTTAGCTTTATTAATTTTCGGACCAAATTGCTTTCATACTCAACATACACAGGAGATTAAACATTTCTTGCTTATTTGCTGCAGTGTCGTGTAGTGTCATCAGCAAATCTTGGAGTATCCATCTAAAGCCATCCTCATAATAGTCACTATAAATGTTGAATAAGTCAGGTGACAACATGCATCGTTGTCTAACACCTCTTTCGGCCTTGAATTGGTTTGAGAACTTCTGATATAGTCGTACTATTGCTATATTGGACTGGTACAGATTTTTGATAAGTGTCACCAGGTGCATTGGTGTGACCATTTCTATTAAAATGAACCACAGATTTACCCAACCTGTACAATCAAATGCCTTGTGGTAGTCAACGAAGCAGATAATTATAGGTACTTGAATTCTCTAGACTTTTCAATGAGTTGTCTCAGGTTCGGGATTTGTTCCCGTGTACCTTTACCCTTTACAAACCCCGCTTGTTCCTGGGGTATTTGGTAATGAAGATATGTTTTTAATCTGATTTTGATGATATGCAACAAGATTTTACTAGCATGTGTTATTAGTGACAGTGTGCGTTAGGTTTCTTACCCGGTAGTAGTTCCTTTTTTGTGTAGCGGGATATAAATTGAGGTACACCAATCAGATTCTTTCTGAATTCCAAACAGTGACACAGATAGAATGGATGATATGTAATCCTTTGTTACCTAGCTACTGTAGTATTTCACCTGGTAGTGAATCATTTATAGATTTATTTCTCTTTAGCGGTTTAATTGCATCTTTGACTTTAGCGAGTAAGACAGTAGATTCTCTAGGGTAGTAAGAAGGCCAGTGATTTTCTGCTGGTACCTAGTTATTTTTATATAGCTTGCCACAGTAGTTTCGCCATGTTTCCCATATTTCGTCAATATTGGTCTTTAGATTACCTTTCTTATCTATTACAGACCAAGTTTGAGATTTAAATTCTCTGGTAAGGAGTTTGATCTTCTGAAATAAATCTCTCGGTTCATTTGACAGCCATGTGCATGGATGTCCGTGGATGATGTTCATAGAACGTGTTTGTAATTGTAAGATGTTGTTCTTCACAGAACTCCACTAGACGGTCGCCATTCTTTTTTATCTGTCCCAGCCCATTTTGCCCAGCACTCCTTCAATATTTTTATTAGATGACCCTACTTTGGCGTTGAAGTCTCCTAAAATTATGATTAGTTCACGAGTCGGAATAGCGCTAACACTTTCTTATAGACGACTATAGAACTTGTTCATGTCTTCTTCTTGTGAAGCTGTTGCAGGCTGCACAAGAAGAAGACATTACATATTTTTTACTAGAAATACTTATACTAAGATCAAGCACTTAAATCAAAATCGAACAAATCCCATAAAGTAGAGATGACCGTCCCCAAGAAAACCCACATGGAAGTGCATCTCTTTTCCTGTTCAAAAAATTGGTCAAAGCTTGGTCAAAAAGGGTACTAAAATTTGTGGGAGAAATTATGTAAAAGTATGGAGCATTTTTGAAATTACCAACCACGGTTCTAAAGGAGGAAAATATGTTACACTGTAAATTAACGAAGAGCAGTAAGACAATATTTCAAATCGGCATGGGACACTCAGTAGCAGCGTATGTTGGGTAAAAATAAAAACAAAAATTTTAAAAAAATTTCCAGTACAACCATAACCAGTCTTTTATCTATATTTCTAGTACCTCCCAAACTCATAACAAAGTGCATCTAATATGCTCGTAAATAAATACTTGTATAATACACTATTTAAAAGCTGGATGAAACTATCATTCTGAGTTGTGTTAATTTTTTTTATGTTTCAAACTCAGTGGATAAATGGACTCGTTAATTATTCACTACAAGAATTGAAGCATCTTCTAAGTCCAGTCCGTTACTGCAAATAGTTTAAACCGTTCAGGAGAATGCTCGTAACGCTTTCGCGAGCAGAAGCATGAGCATTGAGCATGCCAGTGCGCCGTGCGGTAGAACATACACACATAACAGACTCGATAACTTTGTCATATAGATATGTATGTTAAATGGTTTATGCAAGAGTAACTTCATGCCAAGTTAGCAACGCGCGTAGCGAGTATGTTCCCTTCGATAACTCCAAGTCGACGGTGGAGTTGCGAAAGTTTGGGAGTTGTGAAGAGGTAGCGGAATGCCCTTGCGGCTTGTGTAGTTTGATGTCGTACGATAATGGAAGAGGAAAACTTCGTTGTCGTTTTGGAATTGGGAATCTCCACAAAATAGATTAGTTTTGCTTTTTAGATATTATCCTTCCATAGTTGTCTTCAGTAACTATAGAACACACAAAAAATGGATTAAAATTTTAGATGTACATAGAACAGTTTAATAAATCCGATCTTGGCAGAAGAGTTGATCATTCATCAGTTCCCGCATTTTTTTGTTTTGGTCATATAATATTTTCAGTCATGTTTATCCGCTTTTACTTTGTTTTCTCTGTAAACACTACACGTAATCGATGGACAAACGATTTAATAAATCACAGATAATTGCTCGCCAAACAGCAACACTGCCTTTAAATTCCGTTCTTCGATTAAAAAAAAACAATATTCTGTTACAATATTCTTCTCAGAAATCTTTCTGGGAATTTTCCTTTGGTTTTTGCTTACATCACTACTGGACGTAACACATTTAGGTACATGGTTTTCTTTCTATTTCTACTGATAACTCGGTCAATATCATCATCATCATTACTTGTTGGCGCTACAGCGGTTCGTGAGCCCTCCTGCTTCAAAACATTCTTCCATCCTTTCCAGTCGAGTGTAAGTCTTCTCCATCTCCTTACTCCAATCTAAATTAAATCGTCCGGCACGTCGTCCAGATACTTGGAGAAATGGACGAAAACAGCTATTAACGAAAGTTATAAAGGCCAAACAAACAGAGAAAAAGAAGAGGTAGATGTCGAACGAGGTGAATGGCTCAACCAGGAAATCGAGATCACGAGAGGGAAAACATTGCACCTAATGATGGAATGGCAGGAGATCGGAAGACATGGTTAAAATATAAGAAAGAGAATAAGCTGTTGTAAGGAATAAGGAATCCGAGAGGAAAGAATATGCATAATTCCTTCTTGATAGTTCTAAATTTTGTTTACTCGTAGTTTGTATTTATTGGTAACTATAATATCCATATCAACAATTATGTATCTAATTTATTTGTAGAAAATATTACTCTAATAAAAAATATCAATAAAGTTGTTTATGTTAAAATTTCACAAATATCTGAATTGTCGCCAACATCTACTGAAATTCACTGCATATTGATGGCATTATAATCTAGTAATTTGTGGTTTAAAAGAAACGAGCCTGGTTGTCGGATCTTTAATTTTTTATTTAACCTATACATCTATGCTTGAAGCGGAAGCAGTTAAATATCTTGACAGAAACTAAACTAAATCCTTTTTTAAATAACGACTGCCTCACTCCGACTCCAACGTTCACCATTTTTTGCAATACAAATGTTTTTGCTTCCCTCTTTCTATTATTCTTTCTACTAATATGAAAAGAGTCGACGGACTATTAAGGATGTCTACGACTCCATGCGGTAAAATCCGGAAAATGGAAATAGCGCCGTTGAACATTCCCTAGAAAGCTAGATTTTCCGACTGCAAATTTGATTTTCACTCAATTAAAAATATTTGCGTTGGTTTTATTTTCTTTTTGGCCGAGTAACATTTTACAATTCAAATGAATCTTATTATACCGTAACGGGATTTCAACTCGCAGCAGGAATTGGAGAAATTTTAAGAGAACGCGGACAAAAAAGGGTTGGATTCGAATTTTTCCACACAATTATTTAAATTATCGGTACGGACGACTCGGAAAGGAAATTGATATAGGAGGGTAAACGTGGGAAAATACGGGAAACGTAGGGCTTTTTTTCGCGGAACTCGAAAATTTCTCGTGTTACCTGAACGCTTCGTTAGATAAATGTGTTTTAATTAATTGGGCAACTTGATTCGGTTTTATTAAGTTTATTTTTGTTCCAAAAGTAATTCGCTGTGTTTTATACGTCACTTTAAACAAGTTTGTATAAATTGAGGAGCGAAATTTGGGGTTTTTTGTCTGTAAGAGCGATGACGAAAATTCATTTTTCCTTGGCTGTTTAATTATGTAAAGTACCTTTATTAGATCTTAACTATTTATTGTATATTTGGAACAGTGGGAAGATTGGTTCTTTAGATCCCCCGCCTCCTTTTTTGAAGGGAAGTATTGCCAAACTTGCATTCCGATCATCTGGGACTTCTCCTCTGTGAAGACATTCGTTAAAAAAATTTCTTCGAGAATAATTTAACTCCTCTCCTTCAACATTTCTACAAGTATTCCATCTGGGCCCGGAGCTTTATTGCTCTTTAGTTGTCCCTGTAGTAATAACTAACAGGTTAACGTCGAGGCTCGATAGCTATCAAACGATAGAGCAGGCAGATTTCGAAAGAGTTACAGTACAGCCGATCATCTTCTTGTTCAGCGAAGATCACTTGAACTTATACATTGGCTTCATTGATTATGAAGAGGTATTCGACTCCATAGAACTTTGGGCAATAGAGAGAGCTATAAACAACTGCAGGATAGACTCCCGATACAGAATGCTTGACTTCTGACTGGAGTTTTTCTTCTGGGGACATTGACTGTAATGTTAGTGATTTTCTAAATAGACTTGTATCTATTTTTAATAAAGCATTTCCTCTATTAAATATCAGGCCAAAACATAACAAACCTTGGATTACCAAAGGCATTCGCATATCTGCGAAAAATATGCGTTCTCTGCTATATATTAAAAAATTTAATGACAGTATCCCCATCTCTGATTATATCAATAAGTACAGAAAATGCTATATAAAACTACTCAAAGTAGCCAAAAAATCCTACTTTCATAATCGCTTAACAAGCTCCAAAAATATTTCAAAAGCAACTTTGTCAATAATAAACGATTTTCGAAATAAAACCAGTACAGCGAATCAAACCTTTTCTTTTCCTAACCCCGAAAATCTAAATGATTACTTTGTTAATGTGAGTAAAAATATAACCTCAACTATTTCGCCACAACAAGATCCAGTTTCCTATTTCTCTAATTCAAAAAACATTGCTGATACCTTCTTTTTAAGACCAGTTGATAAGACGGAACTAATTTCAACAATTCGTAGTATAAAAAGCACATCGTCCTGTAGTACAGATGGATTATCTATTAAAATTTTCTCAAATCTACCGCATAATGTTTTGGAGGTCATGGTCTCGCTAGTAAATGATTCCCTTGAAAAAGGTACATTCATAAAGGTGGAGAAAAATCTGATGCCTGCAACTATAGACCTACTGCCTTGTTACCAGCACTATCAAAAATTATTGAAAGACTTATAAAAGTTAGACTTATGCCCTTTCTCCTTAAATATAATATTTTATCGCTTCATTCAATTATAACCGCTGATTTACTTATAATCAAGGCTTGGTCAGACTCCAACTTACTTAGCTTTAACGTGGATAAGACTGTAGCATTATCTTATAAAGGAGTCATGCAACCCTTGCTTGTGAATGAGAGCCAAATCAATATCGTAAATTCCGTGAAATTTCTAGGTATTCTCATTGACAGTGATCTCAAATGGTCCTTGCATACTGACTCCTTAAGGAAGAAACTAGCCTCAGCTTGCTTTGCAATAAGATCTGTTTCGAAGGAACTAAATTTATCTTCTGCCAAAATGGCATATTTCTCATTGTTCGAGTCCCATCTTCGATATGGGCTTCCATTTTGTGGTTCTATTACAGCGGCCCAATTTGATACTATTTTTAAGTTGCAAAAAAGAGCAATCCGTTATCTATTTGGTCCCAAACAAACAACTCATTGCAAGACCTACTTCAAAAATCACGGAATTTTGACGCTTCCCTCTTTATTTTGGAAACGGTTTGTTTGATTCGAAAGCATCTAAACATTTTTCCCGATAGACCTGACCATGGCTACTCCATTAGAAATTCGGATTGTAACGTTTATTTGTCGATCCCGTCCACTCAGCTAGTAAAGAATTCTATTCTATATCGTGCAAGAAACTTTATAATCACCTTCCAAGAGAAATTAAATCCGCAACATCCTTCATTAAGTTTCGTAAGGTGACAAAAATCTATCTCTCAGAAAGACCATATTATTCAGTTGACGAGTTTCTTAATGTATAACAAAGAAACAAAATTAGTATTGTTTATAATTACATTTGGGTGTCTCAAGCAGTGGCTACAATTTGTCTCATTTGTTGTTGTCTGTACAAATTATGTAGGTTATACAATAATTTTACTAATTTAAAATTGTGTTATTCTGTTTTTTACTATATTTGTTTTTGTTTTATACTTTTTGAACTATTTGACTGATTTATTTTTTAGCTTTGTCCATAAAATTGTTCAATAATTTTCAGTGACAATAAAGCATATTTCTATTCTATTCTATAATATTTACAAGAATTGTAAATTTATAGAAAATCTTAACAGGGGGAAAGAATTGAGAGCATTCTATAAGAAAGTTAGCATCAACAGAAACTAATTCTAAGCAACCACAGGGCAATGCAGAAGTCAGAATGGCGCCCTGATAATAACAAGGAAAGATGTATTGAATAGATGGGTGGAATACTTTAACCATGCCGTTAATAAGGAGGAAAAAGAAGAAAACCTGGAAGACGAAATAGATGCCGTAAGGGGAGCAGACGAGATGGAAGAGGAATCACAAACGATTCTTGAAGTTAAAGATGCAATTAAAAAATTAGCTAGAAACAAATCACCCGGAATAGATAATCTCCCAGTTGAACTAAATAAAGAAGATGGCCATGATACCATTATGGCATTACAGCATCTTATAAACGAAATATGGACACAGAAAGCCCTCCCCAATAATAGGAATATTGGAACACCTACCATACACAAAAAAGGAGATATCTGTGAATGCTCTGACCACAGAGGAATTATCCTTGTAAATGCAGCGTATAAAATATTTTCCACAGTACTATGTCACTGTATGGCACCATATGCAGAACGAATTGTAAAAAAATACCAGGCTGGTTTCAGAGGTGGTAAATGTACAATTCATCAGACTGCAACCCTGAAACAAATTTAAAAAAACACTGGAATATGGCATTGATACTCATCATATATTTATAGACTACAAAGCAGTCTAAGACTCTGTAAATAGAAGAGAAATGTTCAAAGCAATGAAAGAGCTAGGAATACCAAATCAGTTGGTAAGTTTAACAAATATATAAATATAAAAATAAAACTGTACAAAACAATAATACGCTCAATCTTAACATATAGTTCAGAGACCTGGATTCTAACAAAAGATAATGAAAACATGTTAAAATGTTTTGCAAAAAAAATACTAAGAAGAATCTATGGAGCAGTGAATGACAATGGAGTGTGGGGAACACGATATAACTTCGAACTTAATAGAATATACCAGGAACCGGATATCGTAAATCATATTAACCCGTAACCACAGACGCGGAGTCAATTTGACTCATTGCAAGTACGTAGTGATGAGTTTCGAGATTTCCCCCCACTCTATATGGCCAGGCGTAGATGTACCTTTTCAACGATCAGTATTCAACGGTTAGTGAGACGGCTGTGTCGTTTGTATATGTTATTTGCATTTTATTACGACTTCAGTTTTCGACGGAGTCAAAAAGACTACAGGTCTGTGATAACGTTATATTTCTTGTTTCCATATTTTATAAATCTGCTCGGTTTATTTTAGGTTTCAGTAATGGATTTCGAAAGTAAAGGTGGTCCATCAAAAAGAATCAGATATGGCGATGCAAACTATGAAGAAACTTTGCTGAAATGGGCGGATGAGGTCGATGAAAACGAGAGCGATGCTGATTCAGATTCCGAATTTATTTATAGCGGTCATGAAAGCGATTCGGAGCAAGAAATGGAGGATAATTGTGAAAGACTTTCTAGTGAAGATGAAGGCGTAATAGAAAAAGGTGAGCCATCGCATGAAGTTTCTGTGGAAAACTATTTTTACGGAAAAAACCGTTTCAAATGGTCCAAGATATCCCCGTATTCTAAAAATACACGCACTTTGCAACATAATATTGTAATTAAGTGTCCGGGTATAAAAATTACAAAAATTCATAAAGCTGATCCAGAAGAAATTTGGAATGTGTTTTTTGATAACCGCATTATTCACATTATTCTTGAATACTCAAATTTACGCCTGGCAAAATTGAGGGAGAAATATCAAAACAAAAATTCAAGTGATATTCGGGATTTAGATATTGTTGAGCTGAAGGCTTTTATTGGAATG